CGAGATTGTTAATACAAAGTCGCATGTAGATATAATCATCAGGTTTCACTGAAACAGTATCATTGGTTCTTGTGTACAGCTTGTGGGTAGGCTCTCGCAAGAGGAATTAATGGATCAATTGTCGTCTTTTTTGCCTGCGGTTTTTGAAGCATTTGGGAGCCAAAGCGCAGATGTCCGCAAGGTAAACAAATTGAATAAAAACTTGACTTTTCTACTCATACCAGTAACTTTAGATTTTATGAAATTGGACAAGTAATAACTCTCTATGAGGCTCTTTGTTGTCTATTGCAGACGGTTGTGTTCTGTCTGGTAGACATATATATAATGCTTGGGAAAGCATTTTTGCCGTATTTGGAAGGTCTAAACAGCACGCAGGTTCGTCTAGTGACTATCTATGCAAACCGGATCTCGCAGGCTAGAACCGGTGCTCCTATCGATGCAAACACCTGACGAACGGCGTGTACTTCTTGGTTCATTGGGTTCATATTCATTATTGTTTATTTTGTATATGGGTGTGTTTCATTTTTTTGGGTGTAATTTTGCAAATTGGTTTTTTCCGTTCTGTTAACGTGTGTGGTCTATTTTTTGTTTTTGTTTTGGGGGAATGTATTTATTGCTTTCCTCTCTCGTAGGACTAAAAAATGTATCTTCTAAATTTTATAAAACTTTGCAACTGATGACTAAAATACCTTTATTAGTGAACAAAACGAATGTATATTTTTTTACAAAAACTTCTCATTTTGCCGTGACTTAACATTTTTGGTCCGAAGTTGATGATTCGTATAAAATTCAATCAAATTCTAACATATTAATCTTTTTTTTTTTGGGCAAAATCATATTAGTCTATAACTAAAATATTATGGGCGTTAAAAATAATTTTATATATGGCAAATTTGCCCTATAAATACTACAAGGGTCTCATCCAACCGTTTATCTTTTTCGTTCTATTAACAAGGTTATCCGCAATCGCATAGGCTCTTTTTGTTACCACGATGCAAACAATTTTAGTGATTTTTTCATATGTTGGTTTACATTCATATATAAAACCCACTCAATTTATTTCCACACTTGTTTAAACCAATGTTTTCTATCCATTCTATTCTTTATTTCTTTTGTACATAATTCTTTTTTGTTGAGTAACTAAATTTGCATTTCAACAGAAGGAAAAAAAATTCCTCTGTTGAACAATAATTCTTTTTTGTAGAAAACGTTCGAAAATAGCATAAACTTTAAGTTTGATAATGGTTAAAGTTTAATAAGGTTTACTAAAATCATTTAAAAATTCTTCCTAAACGGTATGTAACATCTTTTGAATTAATTATAAGATTTTGATTTTTTATAATTTTCCTGAAATATTTTACGTAAAATGGTCGGATATATCTAAGGGAAATTTGCCACTTCTACCACATTTCCAAGTTTATCCCACAAAAATACCACATTTCCCAAAAGTTTTCTCTCATACCACTTTGCAAAAATTGAAAAGACATGATTACCCTTCTTTTATTTCTCTACAAACACAAACAAATATCTTCATCTTCTTCTCTTCTATATCGTTTCATGCTCTCTCTCCTATTCCTTGCTCTATCTCTCCTCTTCCTTTCTTTTCTTCGTCTCTCTTACAACTATTGTTTAGATCTAAAATTTGTTTTCAATTGTTTAGATCTTTTTGCATACCCACCATCGTCTTATTCTCTTTCTAGATCGAAAAATTCAGATCTGTGATCCTCAAGAATACATCCTTTTGATTTTCCATCTAAATCAAATTCATTTTCGCATCTAAATATCATAATTACTGGTTTTGATTTTGTTTCTAATTGGTTATTCCACTTCAACTGTGCAGATTAAGTGTTTGTTGTCTACGAGGAAGTCGAAGACGAAGATGTCTACTAAAAAACTGAAGACGAAGAAAAAGATGTCTACGAGGAAAGACAAATAAGATGTCTACGATAAAACCAAAAATGTATTCTTGTCCATACCTTTTGTTACTTTAAAAATTTTGTCCATTTACCCGATTAGAGATTATGAGCAGAAGTTACAAACGATTGTTGATCCACGATGTAAGACAATTTTACCATTCTTCTTTCTTTCCACAAAACCAATGTCTTTTTCATCTCCTCTCTCTACTACTTTTGCAAAACTAACAAAAACGAATATAGAAATTCCAAAAAAGGTGAAGAGCTTTGGTTTGTTGATAATTATTGTCCACAACACAATATTTTTGTCTACAATCTCTATATATGGTTTTTTAGTTGCCATGTATATTCACGGTATAATTATTGTCCACAACACAAATATTATTGTCTACGGTCTGTATATACGATATTTTAGTCCATGCTATGTACAGAGCCGGCTCTGAAGATATTAAGGCCACAAGCCCATTTTTTTTTTTGGCCTACTATACATTACTTTTTTTGAAAAAGACTTGAAAAACAGAAAAAAAAATGAAATGGGGATTCGATCCCTTGACCCTTGGAAGAGTAACTCTTAGTCTTAACCAGTAAAACCAATGAAACTTTCAGAAAAATTCGGCCGAATATCAACTATATAATTTGGAGGCCACAAGCAGATGCTTCATCTGCCTGTGTCAAGGGCCGGCTCTGGCTATGTATATTCACTATATATGTTGTCTACGATATCTATACCCGATGCCATTATTTTATTTTAATGGACAAACTTAGTCATTTCAATTATATTTACAGTATAATTATTGTCCACGATATAACTCTCTTACTTTTTTACTTTAATTATACACAAAATGTTTTTTTTTTTTTGTTTTGTGACTTTATTTCAATACGCAAGAAAAATACGTTTATTATTATTAACTGATTTTTTTGTTTTACTTTTCACCTTCTTTTTTTTTATAAAAACATCATTTTTTTTTAACAGCTCACCATGTATAGAAACCAAAATTCTCCTTCTCTCATGGGGGCATTTTCGTCAGATCACGTTTTCATTACCACAAGAATGGTGGCATATCTCATAACTTTTTGAAAATGTGGTATTTTGCATAAGGGACCCATGGTAGATATGATAGTTTTCCTATATCTAATAGAAAGAGAAATTATTGCGTTGGATTGGGGATCACCAATTATTACCCTCTCGTGGAGGAACATAACACGATGAGACAGCGATCTGCTTGTCTTCCCAACGATATTGCTTTTTCTATTCATCGATTGCTAAATTACTTATTTTACAAATATATTTCACAACTGATCACTTATCTATATTTTTCAATTTTTCACATAAATATTTTGCTTTCTCTGCTATGAGATAAATTTTAAAATGTATACATAACATAGTTCTTATTTTCTCGGCATATATAAATAAAAGAGTACTAGAAATAGAAGGTGTGGGCAAATGAGTCCCCAACCACCGCCGAAATCATTTGCAATTTTTCTAAATAAGAATATTATAAAGTCAGATCCAAGATTTTAATAATTACTAATATTTGGGTCCACCTTATCTTATTGTATTTCTTATTTTATTATTAATATAAATATAGACATGTCGCCATCAAATATAATTTTCGTAATCATTTTTTTTGTGAACCAATTCATCATCATTTCTTCTACTTGTAAATTTTGTTGTCAATCATTTCTAGCAGTTATTTAATTCAACATTAGTAGTCTATGAGTCTAGGCTATATATATATATATATATATATATATTACATCTATAATTTATTTGCACAAATGTTAAAAATTACTAGTTTGAAGCTTTGAATAGGAGGACAGGAGAACAGAACAAGATGGAGATTATAGTTTACAAGTTTATGTTAATGCTTTTATTATATTGTAACCGATAATCAATTTAGATATATATTATATATAAAAATAACGTTTAAAAACACATTTAAATTAATAGTCGTTAAACAATATTTAAAATAATAATTGATATGAAATTGGAGTTTAGATATAGAATATGCGATTTCATATGTATTTTCTTTCTTCCCTACTTGGAATTATATATATATATATATATGTATGTGTGTGTGTATTCCCATATCAATGATAAATGCTCTTTATCCAAAGTAAAATGATAAAATGCTTACATTGGTAGATATAACAGATAATCATCAGGATTAAGAGATAAATTAAATATACAGAAACATAGGTTCCAATTAGTTCAAGTTCTTTTTGTAGAAGAGGCGACTCACTTAAGCTAAAACGTACTTTAATATCATGTTTGCAAGATATGTATACGTAGTCTTTAAATCCATAATTTTGGGGTATAAAAAATAAAGCAATTTTCAAAAATACCACTTAAGTTTTGGTTTTCAAAAAATATCACATAAGTTTTGGTTTTTTAAATATACCATAAACCTAAAGTTTAGCTTACAACCTTCAAAACTACACCATAAAAGATATATAGAAAATCTGAAATAGTCAACTGATCAAATCTAAAATTTTTAAATTATGAACCTTTGAAAATCAATTTTTTTTGTTTGTGGTATTTTTGGAGAACAAAACTTTTGGTGATATTTATAGAACATTAAACTAATAGTGATATTTTGGCAACAAAACTTGAAATTTGAAAATATGGTAGTTTGAAGAAATTCTCAAAAAAATTAACCTATATGACACTCAAATGATTTAGAATTAGGCAAAAAAAATTTATTATAACCAAAACACTTTGTATGAGCCTAAATACCTTCTTTATATGGATAAAAAAAATAATTGATAGAAGAAGCACCGTAAAAATCAATTGGAAAGGTTTTGGACCGATACAAAAAAACATTTCATGTCAGTCTAACACTATTATAGTATGTCAACACTTTTATAGTAACCGAAAAACATTTTGATAGTTCAACACTTGCTACTTAATGTCATTAACATGCTACTTCTGTACTTTTTGGTTTATTTCACCAATCAACCCTGGAAATATATTATATGCTAATTGTAAATATTACCTCTAGTTTAAACTTGGGTCGAATATTTCACTTCATAGATGTTGAGAAAAAAAAAACATATATCAGACGGACAAAAAAAAACTCTATAAACTAGGTATCTATATCCATTAAGACTTGAAGATAATGCCATGAAAACAATTTATAGTACGGATGAGAAACAAAGAGGCTGATTATTTTTATCTCCGTCAGCTACAAATGATCTCACACATTTTGTCTTTATTGTTCAACTTGTTTTTTTTAGTCAGAGGTTAAAAAATCGGCACAAGTTTCTATTCACACACACATACACATAAATAAATAGAGATTTTATTACTGTTTAAAGTTAGTTGATACTACAATAGTAAATGCGACACACACTAGAGTCACGAAGAGGCAAAAACAAGAGACATGTAACAAAAAAGACAAGAGCCAATACTAGTTCCCCAGAAAATAAAGGTGATAACTTTTTTTTTTTTTTAAAGTCTATCCAGTACGAATCAATGGCTGGAAAGCCACTTTTGAGAAAAAAAAATGCTGGAATGCCACTCATCTAATTTTTATTTCTGAGAGAATTAAAAATAAAACAATTTAAATCAGAAAATTATGAAAAGACCAAAAACCCAAAAATCAAATCCCTAATTTCTCATTTTTTCCTTTGCTCTTGGAACAGAGGATTCGAAACTTAATCGTTTTTTGAGTTTCTCATTTTTCCCCTTTTACTCAAAAATCAAATCCCTAATTTCTCATTTTTTCCCAAATCGAAAAACAACAAAAATCTTCTCGAATTCGTGGAATCGAATTGAAATTTTGTCGAGTTCGTCGCCGTGGGAGTGTTGTTTCGTCGAGTTCGTCGCCGTGGGAGTGAAATTAATGGAGTGTTCGTCCCCCGATAGTAATCCTTTGAGAATCCTGCCACCGATAGTAATGGCTCGTGTAAAGACGGTGATGATTTGGTATACGAGTCGACGGAGAGGCGTTGGAGAGAAGAAACCGCCGGAGAAGAACCACCAACAAATGCTTCGGAGTTTGAGACTCCAAAAGGAACCGCGGAGATGGAAGTTGATCCGATAGAACCACCAACAGATGCATCGAAGATTGAGAGTCGGAAAGGTACCTCCGACATGGAAGAGGATTCCGAGAGTGAAAAAGAAACTCCGAAAGAAACTAAAATCGATAAGACCGAGTTAGCCCGAGAGGCTGAGCGAGAGAATGATCCAACAGAAGGAGTTGGTGGCTTGAATGGTTCAGGAGAAGCGTCCATAGACGCAGTAGAAGGAAGAGATGGGCCAGAAACAGAAGAACCTCCCAGAGAAACGGAAAATGTAATTGTAATGGAAAAAGGGATAGTCTCCTCACGAAGCGTTGCATGCGTCAGCAGCAGCAGCCTCTTGGAGCTGGCCTCGACGATCCAATCAACCTGCATATTCTATGGAAGGTGATCTGAAAAATGAGGTATGCGTTCTTACTTGGCATTGTGCACTCATGGTCATGCCAATTAGATAGAATTTAATGTCCGTTGTTTCACATGTTTTAAGAATCCTCTGTTCCTTTCCATGAATTTTCTTATGTTTTCTTTTCCAATAATTGCAGAAATCGTTTTCATTTGCAGTGAGAGATTCACTAGTTAATGTTGGTCCAATAAAAGATTTTGCGTATGGCTTAAGGATTAATGCTGATGCAAACACCACTGGGATTTCCAAACAGAGCAAATATGAATTGGTGAGCCGTTTATTTGGAAGTTTTATATTATACTAGCTGCGGAAATGTTTTGTACAAAATATAACTTGCTTAGGGTTGTTATTTAGTAATGTCTATTTTTGAACTATTCTTTTAATTAACAATGAAATCCTTTGTTCTACAAATTTTGTAGTTGACATGCTTGCCTCGTATTTGTGTAAAAACTGTAAACGCCATACTAAATTTTTGTATTTTGGCGTTGAGGTGTGCTGTTCTATTCATGGGAAGAAGTGGAAGGAAGAACTTGATCAAGAAATGGAAAGAAAGCGCACAAGTCAAGTCTTGTATGCAATCGTTTATTTAGGTACAACTGGTATATTTAGGTACAACTGGTATATTTTGGTTTTGTAGTGTTGCTCTGTCAAAGATAGAGGATAAATGGAAGGAAGAGCTTGATCAAGAACTGGAAAGAAAGCGCACAAGTCAAGTCTGCACGTACTTGTGGATTAAGATTGCACATGACTTATGTTTTTGTATTTCATTTTTGTATTTTGTTGTGTTGTGGATTAAGAACATATGACTTCGTATTTTTGTAAACCAAAAAAATATTTAGATTATATTTATGTTCAATTGGTTTTGTAGGTACAACTAGTCTATTTAGGTACAACTATGTGTATGGATTACTTATAAGAAAGTACAACTAGATCACTTTGGTACAACTGAGACAATTAAAAATAACATTTTAAAAAACAATTTTTAATAAATTTCAAAGAATTAAAAAATATATATATATATCCACGTAAGCATCATTTTTGGCGGCGGGATATTATTTTTAATCCACGTAAGCATCATTTTGGCGGCGGGATATTATTTTTAAATCATCACACGTGTGGTAAATTGTTTTGTTTTAAACATAGTTGTACTAGTTGTCCAGTTGTACTCACATGTTCATAGTTGGACTTTGGCGATTTTTGCGTATTTTCAGTTGGACTTTAATAAAAATTAGTAATTTTAAGTTGGACATATGTTGTTACACTATTAATTATCATCTAAGAAGTTTTCATAATACAATTTGTACGAAATCATAATTTTCACCTATTTTGTATCAAAAGAAGTGATCACCTACAAAGTGTTCCTTGTACTATAAGGAGTGTTTCATATGAAAACAATAGTATGCACTAGGAAAATGATAAATTCAAGTTTTATTTATTTAAAATTGTTTCTTTTTTAGTTCAACATGTTTTTGGAATCCTTGTTAACTCTAATTTATCGTTTTTCTTATTTGTTGAATACACATACGGATACATTTATGGTCTTAGTTGTACCTTGTCAAAACCTAATTATACCTAGTTGAACATAGTTGTATGAATACGACAAGTACATATACTGATACATATATGGTTATAGTTATAGTTTTAGTTGTACCCAGTATATTTATGGTCTTAGTTGTACTAGTCGGTCCTAGTTGTACCAGTCGAATCTAGTTGTACCCGGTCGAACATGGTTGTACAGAAGAAATACGTATACATTTATGGTCTTAGTTGTACTCAGTCGAACCTAGTTGTACATATACGACGAACACATACATATACAAATATGTTCTTAGTTCCTTTATATTTACTTCCTTTAGACCAACACTCGATTCCATAACCATCGTATCTTCCATTGATCCAATCTACTTCATATCTTCCATTAACGAAATAATAGTACACTCCACTTCCGTTACACTTCCCTCTGTTGAATTCACCTTCGTAGAAATCTCCATTGCTAAAATATTGAACTCCTTCTTTGACGACCAGTCTCTGTTCTTCTTCTTTGATCGGTTCCGGTTTTGTATCTCCGATGTACCATTGAACCGGTTTCGGTTTGTGTTTGATTCGAGACCTTACGCGAATCTGTTTGATTGCGATTACGATTTGGTTAATAACCGCCATGTTTCTCGATGCGAAGAACAGAGCAAGAGCGACGAAAATCAAACCTAGTAACAGATTCTCCGACGTAAAAATCTCATCAACGAAGAATAGTAAGAAAGACGAGAGACTTAGGAAAGAGAGACAAGCGAGTGTGAATGCGAGACCCGGTTTAATTCGGTTAATAGACCCGAATGATTGAACCGGTTTTCTTCTCCTCTGTTTCTCTTCTTTCTCACCGGCTTCTAGATCTTGTTCACGGCGGGGGTAAGAGATTTCGTTGAAGTCATCACATTCAGTGATTGAAGAAAGGCTTTGAATCGACGATCGAATCGTCGGAGATGATCTGAGTAACGACGATTGAGTCCTCGTCAGTTTCTTTTGGCTCATCTCCGTGGAATAAAAAAATTGCAAAACAGAACAAGAAACAAAAAAATTTAAGCTTTTTGATTTTGAAGGCTTGAGAGTAGAATCACCACTTTCTTTCTCGATTTTTCCGGCCAAATCTTAAACGATAATACGTTAACCACCACTGCACCACCGTGCCAAGCATCGCAAAACGGAGAAGAACACGAGAGATCTCTCAACTCCAGCAAAATCTTGTTCTTGTTCGTCGTTTTTGTTCTCCGATACCGGAGAGTTTTCACGGCGAAGCTCGATTTCAATTTTGTTTTAAAAAAAAAAAAAATAAATCAGATAAATCATTAAGGGTATAAGGGTATTATCCACTCTATGGATGGCATTCAGACTCAAAAATGGCAGTCCTGATTCATTTTTCTGGTTTAGTGGCATTCTAGCCTGTGGCTCATCCAGTACCCACCTCAGTTCTCCTAGAGATTACTTCACTGATTAGTAATCTCTCTGTGTAGTACACTTAGTCACTAGTACTTTTGGATCTTTCTGTTTTTTTTTTTTTTTGGTTATAAAACCAGAAGAAGAAGATAACTGTTTTTTTTTTTTTTTTTTTTTTAATTTAATACTTACCATTATCATCATCTTTGTAGAGAGATATGCATCATTTCGTCCCTGACTTCGATACCGATGATGATTATGTCAACACCAACAATAATAATTCATCTTTGAATCATCTTCCTAGAAAATCCATTACTACTATGTAAGTTCTTTTTCTCAAACTTTTTTTCGATTTTTATTTATTAATATTTTAAGAAGATCTGAGTTTTTATAGTATTGAAAACTTTAGGGGTGAAGATGATGATGATCTTATGGAGCTTTTATGGCAGAACGGTCAAGTTGTTGTTCAAAACCAGAGACTCCACAATAACAATACGAAGAAACCTTCTTCTTCTTCTTTTCCGACGAAGCTTCTTCAACCTCCGATTCCTCCTTCTATGGATAATCATCAGCAGCAGCAGCAACCGTCGTCAGATCAGAATCTTTTTATTCAAGAAGATGAAATGACTTCTTGGCTTCATTATCCTCTTCGTGACGATGATTTCTGCTCTGATCTCCTCTTCTCCGCCGCACCAACTCCTCCCTGTGCGACGAGTCATGTGGTCACCGCCGTAAGACCGCCAGTACCAGTACCGTCTTCGTCGAATGAGTCGAGGCCACCGGTGAGGAATTTCATGAATTTCTCGAGGCTGAGAGGGGATTTTAGTAACGGTAGAGGTGAATCTGGACCGAAGACGATTGTGAGAGAATCGACTCAGGTAAGTCCTAGCGCAACACCGTCGTCAGCGGCGGCGAGTGAATCTGGTTTAACACGGCGGACGGATGGTACTGATAGCTCCGCCGGACTTAATCGGAAAGGAAAAGCAGTGGCTATGACGGCGCCGGCGATTGAGATTACCGGTACATCGTCTTCTGTAGTGTCAAAGAGCGAAATCGAACCGGAGAAGACGAACTTCGATGACAAGAAACGAAAAGAGAGAGAAGCCACCACCGAGGAAGCTGAGTGCCGTAGCGAGGTGAGTCATTTGAAACTATCGTGCGCAAGTAAGATTCGGCGCATTTTAGTCTGGCTTCATAGATTTCAGCGCATTTTAAAATAACGTTTTCATTTGGTGGTGTTTTTCTTGAGGTGCAGGAAACAAAACAAGCACGTGGATCAACAACATCTACCAAGAGATCTCGTGCTGCTGAAGTTCATAATCTCTCTGAAAGGGTTTGTGTTTTTTTTTGTTTTTCTTATGTTTTTGTAATCTTTTTCGATAAAGATTTGACATCGAATCTAAAGAATGACGCGAATTTGGTAACAGAAACGGAGAGATAGAATCAATGAGAGGATGAAAGCTTTGCAAGAACTCATACCTCGCTGCAATAAGGTCTTCGACGATCTTTTTACTTTCTCATCAAGTTAGTTTTTATACATAAAATTTGTTGCTGATTGTTGTTTCTTTGATTCTCAGTCGGATAAAGCTTCAATGTTAGATGAAGCTATTGAGTACATGAAGTCTCTACAGCTTCAAATACAGGTTCATTTTCTTGAACATGTGATTTTATTAGTCCACCCAACCGTACACGATCCTTGAGTAATGATTCTGAAGTTTTTCAGTTGTAAAAATTTAGGAACCAATAGATGATTGTATTTTTGTTTAAGTTCATGAAAATTTATACTTTACCATGAGATTAATGCAGGTGATGTCAATGGGATGTGGAATGATGCCAATGATGTATCCCGGTATGCAACAGTACATGCCTCACATGGCAATGCGTATGGGTATGAACCAGCCTCTTCCTCCTCCTTCCTTTATGCCATTCCCAAACATGTTAGCGGCTCAAAGACCTTTGCCTACACAAACTCAGATGGGCGGCTCAACACCGCAATACCCTGTTCATGCTTCTGACCCGTCAAGAGTCTTTGTACCGAACCAGCAGTATGATCCAACTTCGGGCCAGCCTCAGTATCCTGGTTACATGGATCCATATCAGCAGTTCCGCGGTCTCCACCCGACCCAACCACCTCAGTTTCAGGTACTTTACTTACCACCCTTCGTCTGTTTCACAATAGCCTAGTTCCTTTGTTTACAAGTCACAAGATCTTATCTTTTTTCTTGTAGAATCAAGCAACATCGTACCCAAGTTCGAGCAGGGTAAGTAGTACCAAGGAATCTGATGATCAAGGAAACCACAAAACAGGTTAATGCCTAGAGCAACAAGATGATCTGTTTTCACAAGCAAACACAATTTTGAGAAATTGACAGAGAGACCTAACATGTATATTGCCATCTGTTTCTTGTTTTTGTTTTGTTTTGTTTTGTTTTGTTTTGTTTTGTTCTCTCTTCTCAGGTTGTTATACTTAGAGAGCTGTACATGTAATGATCCAGAGATCTAGGAATCAATACATAGAGGTTGCAGAGGCTTAGTGCAGAGAATAGATGAGAAAGTTAGGTTCATATACAACAAACCCGATCATTATTCTTTCTCGTCTCTTATTATTACTTTTGACAAAGCAAATCTTGATAAGCTACTAAGGAATCAATATCAGTTAATATACACATATATTCCACTCCCATGGATTTAACGATACAATGCATGCGCAAACAAATCCAACAACAAATGTTTAGTCCTTGCAACTAAGCTGACACAAAAATGTAAATAGACTGACAAAAAAACGAACAAACAAAAGTATGAAAAGTTAATGATCCAATTGGACAAGCATTGCCCATTTTGTACTCTCTTTCATAGGATTTCTTCATCTAAAAACGTAGTGATGTCAACTAATATGATATCTCCATGAACATAATATCCAAAAAATAAAGCTAAAAGAAAAAAAGCAAACAAATTTCTCAAACCGTTAAGACTTGATATCTCCATGACCATAATAAGACTTGAGAAACATGCATATGAAATATTGTATTCGCTAAATAAAGAAGATGTAAAAAGAAGTTTTAACATTATAGGCTTATAGCATTTGAAAACATCTGTTTTACTCTTTCCTTAACACATAAAAATAGAAGATACACTTGAAGATTTGTTAAGTAATTATGCATCCTCCTGGTCCTCCATAGTAAATTGCACTAGACCACTCCTCACCAACCCCTGATTTTGTTTCGACTTTATAACATTTTGGAGTGTTTGCGAATAATATTAAATCTTTAGTTGGTGGACTTCTAATTTTTTCTACTTCACGATCGATCACTTTAAGACCATTCACAAAAGCTGCCTTTTTGAAACCTTCTTGTGGGAAATGTCCACTTCCCATGATTGGGTTTGTGCTCTGTCTCACTGCATTGAAAACTTCTCCTCCCCAAAACACCCGACTTGCTCCATTAGCTAAACCATCAACATGAAACAATGATCTTGGCCAATACCCAACTGGCTCGTTCTTTAGCAAAAACCACCAGTTTCCTGTAACATTATCCTGCTTAAACCAAAAGCAGTAAAGATTTGGATTAGAGTTTTTTTTTTTTTTTTTTTTGGTTTTATAAACCAAATGAAAACATTTGTAGTTCTTTGGTTTTGGTTCATGAAACCAAATCAAAACCAAAATTCATAAATTTTTGTTTATTCTTCATTCGATTACACAAAACTAATTTTGGGTTGTTTCCGACCTGTTGAGTTATAAGTAAACAAATATAATCATCGATCTATAAACAAATTTGCATTGGGTTTGGTTTAAGTATTGCAGTTTGGGCTGGTCGATATTTTTATTACCTTTTTTGTGTCAATATACCAAACTGTTACTAGTCAATATGATGGGATTTGAGAAAATTGGTGCTATATACCTGATAAATGATGGCTTCTAAATAATATTGTTCACCACCATAAGTGGAAACTGGTTTGGCAAGAGTTCCAAGTGCCGACTTGCTACTCACTTGTACAAATCCGGGACATACTGTATTGTAGCAACCTGTCTTCTCATGCCCATCTGCCTGTTTCCAATCATAATTTAAAACCAATTTAGCCAGTTTGGCTGGACAATGTAGTGAACTATCAAACTTTAAATATGTTAGAAGAACTTACCGTCCAATATGTAAATAAGCCACTATGATTTTGATTTAGTTTCGGGGACACCTGTGAGATATTTATTTTTTTACAATTTTACAGGTTTTCTTTTTGAATTGTTATGAAATTTTGAAGTAATATGGTTTTGTGACTTACTATCCATCCAGCTGAAATGCTTTGTAAATTGTTTCTAAGGCCGTTCTCGACATATATACTTGCAAGACTAAATTGATCAGGTTCGACAGGCGGATCCCATATATTTATGTTTCCCGTTGCTCCATAATTGTCTTTATAGTATTCAGCTATCGCAAACTAAGATAATCAAAAGACAAAGAAACAAAAAAAAATCTAAGCACTTGTTAGGGTATTAAATGGTCTCAACAATCTCAATAAGAAGTGTTTCTTACATGACGGCTGGTCATATTGAGGACGTTATTGTCTTCTGAAGTTGTATACTTAAACCCTAAAGATTTCATACGTTGAATTTGTATAAGTTCTTCAAGTGTAGTTCTTTTAATAATCACTGTTCCAAGCGGACAACTTATGTCTTCATCTTGTCGAAATGGTAGAGAACTTGATTTTTGAGAAGTGATTTTATCTCTTGTCCATTTAGGTATGGTTGTAGGCTTCAACTGCATATGATAATTTAATCCATTAGGGAAGAAAAAAAGAGTCTTGAAGAGCTTTAACTTGTATTTTGTAGAATAAAACCTGAATAGAATGGTTTTTGAGCGAAGGATGATCAAAGGCTAGCTGCTTTTGAATGTCGATGCAGTCTAATATATAACCATGTTTCGTCTGTCAATATACGAGGTAAAAAGAACATTAATGTGCTCTGAAAAAGGAAGAAAATGCAACTTCAATTGTTGCACTCTTTAAAAAACAATGTCGATTCAAATATTACTGAGAACCAAAGCCGTTAAGAGTTTTGACCTTTCAGTTTTTTCTTATCCAAAATGCAAATTGGCTCAAAACAAATACTATAGCTTTATTAAAATAGTTTACAACAACAAATACTTATATCACAGACCGTATTTGTAGAAAACAACATAAATTTTATCGTTCAACATAGAAAGTTTAAGAAAAAAGCTCAATTTACTTGGAAACTTTTTATTGCTGGTTTATTAATATGGTTGAGTAGTTTCTCGAGCTCTTGTTTCTCCTTTTTCAATGGTATTGTTCTTCGACTCTCTGTAACTAAAATGAGAGTTATTGTATAAAAAGTCAGAAGGATAAGCTTATTAGTGCATGACCTCATGATATCAAGGATCATAAACTGTTTTTTACAAAAGATGAATGAAGCATAGCAACTATATATATGGTGCACATTAATATGAAACTATTAATTAAATAAATTAAAAATCTGAAAAAATTAATGAGGTATAGATAACATATGAAAATCATTAATAAAGTAAAATAAAGTCCATCGTCCACCATTGGAAAGACAAATGGTGGACGATGGACTTTTAAAATTGTAGGGGATTTAGATTTTTACAAAAAAAAAGTAAAAAAACTTTAAGAACATATTTTCCCAATATCACACTTTAATTAATTTTATTTTTAATAACAAAGGTTTTTTTTTTCTTAATACTGACATCCATTTTTCTTCTTGTCATAATTGTTTTTGAAGCCAATTATTTATGACTTTATTTTAGTTTTAAATCAAAAGTCTTAGTTATTTTAAAGTCTAAAAATTTTAAATTAAGATCATGTAAGTTTAAGTCCCAACCAATCAACCTCAAACTTTCAATGACAAGAGTTCCAGTTTAGGTTTATTTCATTCACATACTAGATACTACAAAATAAGAATTAATTTGAGTTCAATCATAGATTCTAACTCATTTTCATTAATAACAAACAAAAAAACTGTAATAATGTAACACAAATATAACAAACAAATAAAACTGTAACATGGACTTACCCATTACACAGTGCTCACAGAAACCTAATTTCTTGACATCCTTCTTGTCAAGCAGGCCTTTGCTAGATAATATCTTCATGTTGTTGAAACTTAAGTGTCCAAGCTTGTTGTGCCATAATGCAGTGTTATATCTCTGTTCTTCTCAACATTACAGTTCTCCTGCATCACAGTTTCTCCTTCCAGCACATATAGACCGTTCGTCAGAACTCCACACAAAGCCGTTGTGTTGTTCTTAAAATATCCCGCTTTTCTTTTATCACCTTCATCATGTAAAAACGTCTCATGTATAATTTGTTTATCATAACCCACAATTTAGTTGTTGTATATATCACAGTGATTTATGATTATATTCTTGGCCTGCTTTGACTGCTCAAGTTTATTAACTAGTTGCTAACTTTACAATCTGACTTATTTTACTAATATATATTTTCATTTACTTGCCATATTTACTGAAAATATTTATTAAAGAAGATTCCAACTAATATGGTTTGTTGTTATTGAATTCTCCACTTTAACTGTTGCTAAGTGTTGAAAAAGTAAATATATTAGAACAAAGTAAATGTCATAGAAACAATTTTTTATAAAATTTATAAACAAAAAATCTCACTATATATGTTATACAATATCTTAAAATTTACATTGAGTTGATAAGAGATACCAAAAATTAAATTTTACTTTAGGTGAAATTCAATCTTATCTATAATTGTAACAATATATGGTTAATAATTTTTTAAATATTAATTAAATTACAATATTGGTATAACATCTATAAAATCTAATCAATATTATTTTATTAGCATGTGTGTAGTATATGGATCAAATATTAAAAGAAAATAAGAGCCTAATTAATTAAATTAGGATTTTGTTATATATATTTCCTAAATTGAAGATTTGACCCCACTCTCAACTCATTATAAAAAGAGAGACTTTCATAGCTTCTTCAAAAATCTTATTCTTCGTTTAACCAACAAAACAAAAGAAATATGTCTTCGAACAAGATTGTGTTGACTAGCTCCGATGATGAATCTTTCGAGGTTGACGAAGCGGTGGCTCGTAAATCGCAGATCATAGCGCACATGATCGATGAAGATTGCGCCGATAAAGCAATCCTGCTTCAAAACGTCACTGGAAAGATCCTCGCTATCATTATCGAGTATTGCAAGAAACACGTTGATGATGTTGATAGTGAAGCAAAGAATGAGCTCGTGATGACTTGGGACGCAGAGTTCATGAAAAACATTGATATGGAAACAGTCTTCAAACTCCTTAACGCTGCTGACTATCTCAACGTCAAAGGTCTTCTTGATCTCACTAGCAACACCATTGCAGATTACATCAAAGATAAGAAGGTAGAGGAAATACGAGAAATCTTTAACATCGAGAACGATTATACACCTGAGGAAGAAGAAGAGCTTCGCAAGCAGAAAGCATGGGCATTTAAGGATCAAAATTAAAACCCTAAAGTTCCGTTTTCTAAGTGTTGATCTCGATGTTCTTTAATCTTTGTTGATGACTTAGCTTTTGTCTCTTTCTTTAAGTGTGTGATTGCCTTCGTCTCTTTGATTTCATGGTTTGTGGCCGGTTCCTTTTGAATTTCATGGTGTTATAATGTTTAGTAATCTTTACTTAGATATAATAAGCCAATGTCTTTTGCTAATTTATTTCCAACCAAAGATCCTCCGGCGATTCTGAATTCTTCGCCACCGTTTGGGCACTGAAAAGTTATCATAATACATGTGTCTTAACTCTTATCTAGGGTTAATTTCTCTATTCCCAATCTTTTTCTCAAACATTTATTATAAATTACGATTTCTTTTAGCCACGTAGTGAAATTCATAATGAAATGATATTTCAATGCATATTTAGATCATATATCCCAATGTATTATTTACATTAACTTAGATCATGACACGTGTTACATCACATATTAAATTTTATTTATTAACGAAATCTTATTATATAAAATATAGTTTTTATAGTTAGTAAGTCATAGAATCGTGCCACGTGTCAAATTAATGGATTTCAGATTTTGAAACGTGTAAATAAAAAAAATTTCCTTTTAATAAAAAAAATAATTATAAAAAATTATAATTTAAACAGTTTTAAAATGTAAAAAAACTAATTATAAGGAAATTGTACCTATAATTCCATAAGATATTTTGCCATCTAGCAAACAAAAGTTTTGTTTTTAACAACTTAAAAATTGTTAAAAGAAAAATACAACAAAATTATAAATTTAAACAGTTTTAAAAATATTATAATAAGAAAACTATAAGTATATATTTGTTCTTTTGCTTCGGAATCACGGGACCATCTCCTCCTCTTCCGCGAGTTTTCCTCTCAGGTTTGGCGCTTGGTTTTCAGCAGGTTATGCCCTCGTCAGAGGCTGTTTTGCTCCTGGGCAGAACTACTCTCCTGGTCCCGGCGAGCTTCAGCCTCTGCTCCTTCTCTCCTCAGAAAAGTGGCAGCTCAGGCAGTGGTGTATACTGTGGCGGCAGCGAAATAATGTCCTCCACAACTCTCAACGGCTTGCTCCTTCAGTTGTTTTCAAGCTGGTGGATCGTGATATGCACAACATCATCTCTTCCAGAAGACTTCGGCGGCGTTGGTGTTATCTGATGTTGCTTTGGACTCGTTAGATTGTTCTATCTCTATCTTAGTTGTTATTGTACCCATGTTTTTGTTTTTTTTGACATGGTTGCTCTTGTGTAGGTTTGCTCTCTTGTAAAGCCTCAAACATTCATTCATTAATGATATTTACTTCTTTAGCAAAAAAAAAAAAGTATATATAAAGAAATTATATATATTTTTTCCATAAAAATAGAAATTCTAAAATTGTGCTAAACTTTTTATTTATAAGTTACCAATTGGATAACAGGTCCTCGTCTTGTCGAAATGGCAGAGAACTTCAACTGCATATGCTAATTTAATCCATTAGGATCAACGAAAAGAGAAAATCTTGAATAGTTTTTACTTGTATTTTGTAGAAGAATCCTGAATCGAATGGTTTTTGAGCGAAGGATGATCAAAGGCTAGCTGCTTTTGAATGTCGATGCAGTCCAATATATATGTAACCATGTTTTCGTCTGTCAAAATACAAAGCAAATAAGTAAATTGATGTGGTCTAATAAAGAAAATGTTATTTTGATTCCAAAGTGAGGTTAAAAGTTGTGGCTATTCGGGTTTTTTTTACTAATCTAAAATGCAAAAGTATCTTTGGTTCTAACTTCTAAGCAATAAGTATAGCCTAGTTTTACAACATCAAATTTGAACAGATAAAACAAAAATGAAAGAAACTTATTGAAATATGAGTTTTTTTAGTTCTTTCCTATACACTGTTATAATAATTGAGCTAATTCATTTAATTTCTTATGACATATAAATTTCCTATAATTTTTTTCTTTCACTCATCCTAAAAATATGCTTTTAAAAGTAATCGTATACGATTGCTTGTATCACAGACCATATCAGTAGAAAGATAATATAAATTTTGACGTTCAACAATTTATTTGTTTAAGAGTAACATCAAAAGTTTTAAAATTAAAAAGTTAAATTTACTTGGAAACTTTTTACGTACTACATGTGTTTTTTTTTCTTTTGATGGTATTGTTCTTCGGCTATCAGTAACCAAAATAAGAGTAATTGTTGACAAAGTCAACCAGATAAGCTTGGTGGAGGACCTCATAGAAAATCAAGGATCTTAAACTATTATTACCAAAGATGATTGAAGCATAACAAGTATATATATGGTCTCACATTTATAGGAAATAATTAATAAAATAAAAAACAAAATCTGAAAAACATTAATAAAATATGAAAAAGATGTTAAAGATCTGTTAACTAATTGTGCATCCTCCTGGTCCTCCATAAAAAATTGCACTAGACCACTCCTCACCAACCGTTGATATCGTTTGGACGTTATAACAAGTTGGACTGTTTGCAAATAACATTAGACCCGAAGTTGGGGGACTCCTAACTTCTTTTGAAACATGATCGATCACTTTAAGACCATTCACAAAAGCTGCCTTTTTAAAGCCCTCTTGTGGAAAATGTCCACTTCCCATGATTGGGCTTATCATGTTTTCCACTGAACTAAAAACTTCTCCTCCCCAAAATATCCGATTTGCTCCATTAGCTAAGCCTTCAAAATGGAACAATGATCTTGGCCAATACCCAATTGGCTCGTCGCCTAGCACAAACCACCAATCTCCTGTATAATAATCCTGATTTAACCAAAAGCATTAACTCTTTTAGAAATGGCGATTCAGATTTTAGTTTTGTTTAGTTTTATTTTCTTTTTGGATTAATAGAAATTGAAACATAATGAAAACATTTGTAGTTTCTTTTGGTTTTGGTTTTATTTAATGCAATTTCGGTTTATGAAGCCAAATCAAAACAAAAACTCATGACTTTTGGTTTATATATATACTCAATTCGGTTTAGACTAAATAATTTTGATTTGTTGGCGGTTTAAGAAGATAATACTCAGCGATCTATAAACAAAATTGTGGTTTGGTTTAAATTATTAAATTTGGGTTGGTCAATAATTATTTTATTACATTTTTTGGTAAATATATCTAACTATTACTCTCTCCGTTTCGTTTTACTTGTCGTTTTAGAGTTGAAATTTTGTTTTATAATAGTTGTCGTTTTAGGTTTTCGATGCAAATGTTTGGTGAAAATTCCAGTTTTATCCCTACTGTTTTAATGTTTCGGCCAATGAATTTTTTTATAAAATATATTAATAAAGGGTAAAACAGAAAATTTAATGTTTTTCTTAATTTGTGTGAGAAAACCTTAAACGACAATTAAAACGAAACGGAGGGAGTATGTAACTTATGAGAGTAGTTTGAGAAAAATGGTGCTACATATATACCTTGAATAAGCTGACTTCTAACTGATATTGTTGACCATCATAAATGGAAACAGGTTCGGCACGAGCTCCAAGAGCGAACTTGCTGCTTACTTGAACAAACCCAGGACATAATGTACTATAGCAACCTGTTTTGTTATATCCATTTACCTATTTTAAACAATAAAAAACAAGATAGTTTATCCAGTATAACTAGACTATATATGTAATAAATTACCAAAATTTAAATATTTTTGAGGATCTTACCGACCAATATGTAAATAAGCCACTATGATTCTGGTTCAATTTTGGGGATACCTGGGGGATTTTGTTCTTTTCAATTATATAGATATTTTGAATTATTATGAAATATAAACTATTAGATTTTTGACTTACTATCCATCCAGCTGAGATGCTCTGTAACGTATCTTTAAGACCGCTCTCGACAGATATACTTGCTGGACTAAGTTGATCATCTTTGACAAATGGATCCCATATATTAATGTTTCCCCTTGCTCCATCATTGTCTTTATAGTACTGAGCTATCGCAAACTAAGATAATCATAAGGAGAAAACCAAAATATAAGCACATATGTGTTAGGGTGTTAAGGTCTCAACTATATGAGCAAGAAGTGTTTCTTACATGATGACGGTTCATACCGGGGCAGTTCCCGTCTTGGGGTGCTGGATACTTGAACCCTAAGGATTTCAAACGTTGAAATTGTATAAGATCTTCAAGTGTAGTTCTTTTAATAATCACTGTTCCAAGTGGACAACTTATGTCGTCAGCTTGTCGAAATGGCAGAGAACTTGATTTTTGAGAAGTGTTGTTATCTCTTGTCCATTTAGGTATAATTGTAGGCTTCAACTGTATATGATAATTTAATCCATTAGTAAAAAGAAAGAATCTTGAATAGCTTTTGGTTGTAATTCATAGAATAAAACCTGAATCGAATGGTTTTTGAGCGAAGGATGATCAAAGGCTAGCTGCTTTTGAATGTCGATGCAGTCCAATATGTAACCATGTTTCGTCTATCAAAATACGTACAAAGCAAAAAAAAAAAAAAATGATGTGGTCTATAAAAATGTTATTTTGATTCGAAAGTGAGGTTAAAAGTTGTGGCTATTCGGTCATTTTTTAAAATCTAAAATGCAAAAATATCTTTGGTTCTAATGTAAACAATTAGAATAGTTTAACAACATCAAATTTGAGCAGAATAACAAAAATGAAAAGAGTATTATTGAAATATGAGTTGTTTTAGTTCTTTCCTACACTGTCATAACAACTGAGCTAATTCAATATTTAATATCTTAATTAGGACATAGAAATTTCCCATATTTCAACAATTTATTTGTTTAAGAATAACATCAAAAGTTTAAAAAGAAAAAGTTAAATTTACTTGAAAACTTTTTACTGCGGGTTTATTAATATGGTTGAGTAGTTTCTCTAGCTCATTTTTTTTCCTCTTTTGATGGTATGGTTCTTCGGCTCTCGGTAACGAAAATGAGAGTTATTGTTGACAAAGTCAACAAGATAAGCTTGGTGGAGGACCTCATAGAAAACAAAGGATCTTAAACTATTATTACCAAAGATGATTGAAGCATAACAACTATATATATTATATATGGTCTCACATTTATAGGAAATAATTAATAAAATAAAAAAACAAAATCTGAAAAACATTAATAAAATATGAAAAACATTAATAAAGTAAAAAAAAAATCTGAAATTATTGAAAACCAACAAAGAACCTATATATATTATATAGTGACTGACATACACAAGATGGATGATGTTACTTAAATTGTTTTGGGGGATTTAACTTCTAAAAAAACTTCTAAAATATGTGATAAATATGAATTTTGTATGTTTAAAGTAAAACTTAAAATTGAAAAAAATTGTAAGAACAGAAGAGAGAACAAATTATAACAAAGTAATGAGTGTATCTATAATATACAACAAGTAAATGAAACTAATTATCTAGATCTTTTGATCAACAAAGTACAAAGTAAACCTAACGCAAACATGATTGGCCAAACCGAGAATTTGATGGGAGTGTCATCTCTACGTGTGATGAATGAATAGTTAACGGCAGTGATAGTCGTTTGGCACAAGGCGCAAACCAAGCCAAGCATCTCTGGAAAGCTACCAAATCTGTTTGATCTTTGAGTTTGATAGTGAAACCAAGGAATGGGCCAAGTCCACTTCCACACAACTCTCTCAACTCTGCCTTTGTGCAAGAGATCTATGATGCAAAGTAGACATGATAACAATGACATTGACATTGCAACCAATGCGTATAAAGGTTTATGTGCAGAGGAGATCTGGTCGAAAACAGAAGAAGCTATCTCCAACATGAGGTTTGTGATGACTAGAGACCACTCAATTATAATCTGCTAAAAAAAAAGACGGAAGTTTCATTCGAATCATTTTCGCCAACATATTTGTTAGTAACAAGGCGGTTTTTTGATCTAAAAGACCTTCATTCTTGAGGCTCTTAGCAGCTTGTTTTCGATTTCCCGAGCTATTTCATTCACCAACATCTCCTCATCACTGGGAATATAAGCATAAGCAAAAGCACACTATTTACAAGTAGAGAAAGCAGTGATCATAATATTAATCCCAGAGCTTAAAACATGTATAATGCATCGTTTACAAACAACAACAACAACAACAAAAAAAAAAAAATGCAAAAGAGCTATATGAGTAATTGGGGATATACCTCAAATAGGCAGTACTCCATCCAGGGAGGTTAATGGCTTCTGTAAAACCATCTTTCCATTCTTGAAGCTTTTCGGCTATATCCCGTCGCTTAGCAAAGGCATCTCCAAAACTTCCTGTCTGATTTTCAATGTCGAGAGGATCCACATGGTAAAGGACAGGTATCACAATCTGACCAAACTTTTCTTTGCATTTCAAGATGGCTACAACTTCATCTAAACACCATTTCGAATCCCCAAAGTTTTCCGAGAAAACAATGACTGAAATTCTCGATACTTCGATTGCTTTTAACGACTCTTCGTATCTCTCTTCAGCCGGTAGTTCGTCATATAAGAAGGTTTTGATCCGCTTCCTACGTAGACAGCCACAGAGATGGCTCACGAAGTTGTCACGAGTGTCTTTGGCCCTGAAACTTATGAACACATCGTGTTTCATTGTAAGACTTGATGAATTTATTTTTCTATTTTTATCATACAAGTCTCCCTTCTTCTGTAACCATCTTTAGTTCTTTATAACTTTCTTTGCAATTTCCTAGAAATTATTATCTCTACTAAAGTACAAAAACACACGACGTAACTCCTTTTTTCTATTGCAATTTTCAAACTTTCTTCGTAGTTTCTTGGAAGTGTATGTATTTAATATTTGATTTAGACATCAATCTGTCGACAAATATCGACAGCAACTTATGCTGACTTTCATGTCATGTTAGTACAATCAAATCAGTTTTCACTGGATTGAATTGATTTTCGGAAGCACACTCGATTATGTTCTGTACCACTCCAACTTTTTTGTTGTAACCAACAGAAGCTTAGAATTGCAAATTGGACTATATTAGTAATAACCAGAGTAAAAATAATGGAAATTTCAAATGAATATATCTATGAGGTGGTTCTGAAGAATGCAAACTAATAAATTGCTAATTTCTAAGCAGATTAATAAAGAGCAAACGATTTTATATGATCAGAAAAAGCTAAGCATGGAGTGAAATAGTAAAATCGAGAAAAAGAGAGCAAACTCGAAAAAGAGATTGAAATAGTCGTTTGTGCTTCTTTCACATGTAAAGACCTTCAGGGACTCCTTCTTTCTTCTTGAACATAACCTTCTCCTTGGCCTTCTTGAAGTCCACATGCGTCACCTAAACCAATAGACCAAATAAGGTTATTCAAAGATTACGTAGATGAATCAAGTGGTGAGAATCAGAGAATCTTTACTTTCATCCGACGCTCTCTAAGAGCAAGCAGACCAGCTTCTGTGCATATCGCCTTTATATCAGCTCCTGAGAACTCGTCTTTCGTCATTACAAACTCTTCTAAGTTCACATCTTCAGCCAAAGTCATCTTTGATGTGTGTATCTAATAATGGAATGCAATTAAAAACCCATCAGAGCTTTCTACAAAACTCACAAAATTAAAGAAAAGTTCAGGATCACCAATTGTGTGGTACCTGGAAGATACGTCTCCTTGTTTTGATATCTGGAAGAGGGAACTCGATTTTCCTGTCGATCCGGCCTGGTCTAAGAAGTGCCGGGTCTAGACTTTCAATTCTGTTTGTCGCGAGAATAACCTTAACATCTCCTCTTGAATCAAATCCATCAAGCTGGTTCAGTAGTTCCAACATGGTTCTTTGGATTTCACGTTCACCACCTGAGTTTGCGTCATACCTGTTTCAACCACCATTTTAAATCACTGATTAGATACCATCTCCGAAGCAAAGTCCAGAACATTGTTATCAATGGATCATGTTTGTGTAGTATTTAGGCATACCGCTTGGTGCCAACAGCATCAATCTCATCTATGAAAACAATAGAAGGTGAAAGGTCATCAGCAACCCTGAAAAGCTCCCTCACAAGCTTGGGACCATCTCCCAGATACTTCTGAATCAGTTCACTACCGACAACACGCAAGAAAGTAGCTGATGTAGAATTCGCCACTGCCTGAAAGAATAACAAGAAATAATACTTGCTCATTTAACAAGCATAAGACACATTAAAAAGAGCCACACAGCAACAATCCATGCTTGCGACGTAGACAAAACAGAAAACGAAGACATTAGATCAGTAAAATGACTCTGAAAATCTTCCTCCATCTGCACAAGTACTACTATCTAATATCTAAATTCTAGGTGATCAAACCAAAGAAGCCACTGTCCTGACTAATTTATCTTTCTAGGGACAAAGAATTACAGCTTAGCTTAGTGAAGATTGCTAAAAGACTTAATTGAGTAATTAACAACTAGGAAGCTTCTAATACTTGATACACTATAGGCCAAAAGACGAACCTTAGCAAGCAATGTCTTCCCAGTGCCTGGCTCACCATACAAGATCACACCTTTTGGTGGCTTAATACCGATATCTTCATACAACTCGGGATGTGTTAAAGGTAGCTCAACAGCTTCCTTGATCTCCTGAATCTGAGCTTCTAAACCTCCAATGTCAGCATATGACTCTAAAGGAGCTTTCTCCACTTTCATCACAGACACCATTGGATCAACTTCATCTTGAAGAATCCCAACAACAGAGAGTACCTATCACAAAACAATATCACATAGAAGAAGCATTGTAAAATTAGATACTCTTCCAACTAAATTCCTATTTCAATCTCCCAGAAAACGAATCCCGAACTTCAATACCTTGTTATGCATCAAAATTGAACAACCAGGTTCAAGCTGATCCTTATCAACGAAAGACAAAATCCCAACGTAATACTCAGGACCAACAGAAGAAGAAACAATGGCGTGATTCTCATCAATAAGCTCTTCAAGATTGCCAACACTCATAGGTGTACCACGAAGATCATCAACTTTAGATCTATCTTCCTCAGCTTTCTCTTCCTGAGGTTTCAATCTCTCCTGATTCGCTACGAATTCTTCTTCCATAAGCAAATAGTCCTTGATTCGCTCCAGTTTAAGCAATCGAAGCTTACATTTAGTAGAAGGAGTCACCGTCGGCAATCTCGCCGCCGCTTCAGGTCCTTTCTGCTTCCGTTGCTTCCTCCCTACACGAGCAGGTGGTGCGGCTGGTTCGAACTTCTTCTCTTTCTTGTCACCACCATCTGGTTTCCGATCTCCTTGCCGATTCAATCCGCCGGAAGGTCCTTGACCCATTGGAGTTTCTTCTTTCTCTTTTGCTTCGTCTCTCTCTCTCTCAGAGGTTTCTTGCTCTCGGAGAAACAAATCTTCAAATTTGATAGCGGAGTAGAGAATAAAAATGGGCTTATTAGTTTGGGCCTTTTTAACGATGTGAGAAGCTTAATGGGCCTAGAGGTATCGCAATTTTTTCAAAACGGATTCAACCTAACCTATTACTTCCTCCATTTCGATTTACTTGTCGTTTTAGAGTTAAAATTTTATTTCATAATAGTTGTCGTTTTAAGTTTTTGATGAAAATGTTTGGTGAAAATTCCAGTTTTATCCTTACTGTTTTAATGTTTCGGCCAATGATTTTTTATAAAATATATTAATAAAGGGTAAAATAGAAAATTTAATGTTTTTCTTAATTTGTGTGAGAAAACCTTAAACGACAACTAAAACGAAACGGAGGGAGTATCTATTATCTCAACTTATTTATTCAAATAAGAATTGAATTTATTCATATTGTTTGTGTAAGTACACAATTTGAAATGCAAAAACAAAAGAAAGATACAATCGCGGAAATATCAATCAAATCTTTATATTAGTCTTTTTATTATTAAATTTGTGGTATTTTGGAGATTGTTAGCTAAATTTAGTAGTAAAACTTATTTTTGTGTTATTTGTGAGAATTTATTATGTACATCAAATGTATTTATTGCATTAATTTACAAAGATTTATTAATCTTTTCATCTTTTGAAAAAAAATTTGTATACACTAATTTAAAATAAAATAAAAAATAATAATCATGTGATTAGGAAAAGATAAATAAAACAAGACAAATATAAAAAGAAAAATCGAAAAACGACAGAGAACTTCAAGTTGGAGTTAGCTAGCTAGCTTGCTTTATGCACAGAAGAACAGTCGCCGGCTAAAGTCTCAACCTTTTTCCTCTCCGCCGTTCACATTCACCTGCATTTCTCCCTTCTTTCTTCTTCTCCGGCTAGATTTCATTGTCGCCTGAGTTTCTCGGCGATGGGAGACGAGAAGCCGGCGATTGTTATGGCCAATCGAGAAAGAGATCGAGAGCTTCTGATTCCCGTTGCTGATTCCGGCGACAAAGACGATGGTCCTTCTTCAAAGCCTTCTTCTTCTTCTTCCTCTTCTTCGCATCAATCCAGCCAAGAGGTCTACTTTCCTGATATTGAATCTTATACGATCTTCTTCGTTTTCTCATTTCAAGATTCATGCGAAAATAACACTAGAATTGGATTGATTTTAAGCTCTTAGTTCCTTTCAAGATTTAGTCTTCAGAGATTTAGCCGATTCTGTTTCCTCTTAGTTCAAAATCTGGGAACTTGTTTTACCCTAGATTCAATCTATTTCAAGAACACTTGCTTAGATAAGTTTGGTAGTGTTTTAACTAGCCAAACACTGATCTTAATTCTTAAGATGCTTATAAAAATTTGACCTTTTTCTGATTGGGTAGAGTATGAATTTGCATTCCAAGTGTTTTGGTTGTGATCCGTCAGATTCTTGAGTCTTTATGTTATGCTAATTCATGTTTTCAATTATATATAACACATAGAGCATTGTGGTCTGATGCTTTAGCTATTTTCTCCAGACGTTTAGCTTGTTCATTAGGGGTTGGGCGTCAAAGAAGTTCATGACAGGCTGGTAAGGAGGAGTTGAAATTTTGGCATTCGATGAAGTTGTCACAGATTCAGCAAAACTTGTGTTGATAGTTTTAAATCTCAATTGCTTTGTGCAGTGTTATCCTACTTCCTATTGCAATTACTTTCTATATAACATGGTGGTTTATTCACTTTGTCGATGGATTCTTCTCTCCAATATATGCACAACTTGGGATCAACGTATTTGGTAAGAATTTGAGTGGCTTCTCTTTATTGTATTAACAACTTGATATCGGTTTCTCACACGAGTTTGATTTTGGTTTTATAGGTTTCGGTTTTCTGACTTCCATTGCATTCATCTTCTTGGTCGGGGTGTTCATGTCCTCGTGGTTGGGTGCATCGGTTCTGAACTTGGGAGAGTGGTTTATCAAGCGGATGCCCTTTGTTCGTCACATCTACAACGCCTCCAAGCAAATCAGCACGGCCATATCGCCTGGTCTAGCTTTAAAAAATCTTATTTTGCTTCTCAACAGTGGATCAAATTTTCCAATCTCAACTTGTTCTTATCCATTTTGTTCCTTCTCATTTCAGATCAAAATACACAAGCTTTCAAGGAAGTTGCAATCATCAGGCACCCCCGTGTAGGTGAATACGCATTTGGCTTCATTACATCAACTGTTGTTCTCCAGGTGAGTGAAAATGCTTGGCTCAAGGATTTGGTTATTCTTTTCAGAACTTCTTAAGGATACAGAGGGCAGATACAATTTCGTGGCCATGTAATAATGCTCTTCATCCTTGCAGAACTACCCAACCGAGGAGGAACTCTGCTGTGTATATGTTCCCACGAACCACCTGTACATTGGAGATATACTACTTGTCAACAGTAATGACGTTATCAGGCCAAATCTCTCTGTCCGGGAAGGAATTGGTGAGATTTCAGAACCTATTGTCTGTCTTAGATACATCTATTGTTATATGGCATTCAAATTTATTTGTGGAAAGCTACTGAACTTTTTATACTCATTCTTCATCTGCAGAGATTGTTGTCTCGGGTGGAATGTCAATGCCACAGATTCTATCGACTCTTGATAAACCTTTGGCCTCGATTGATAGAGCTACAAGCTTATAGTTTCAAGTAGAAGATTCTCTTTTTGTTGGGATTTGTTGATGAGTGTGTGTCTGTCTCTGGAGTCTCTTCAATATTGTTGTAATATTTCATTTGTGTTCAGAAAAGTGTATAATGTAAGATAGGTCTCTCTCTTCTTAGATATGAATCTTTCTCCTGAAAATATTATTTTTCTTGAAAAAGTATTGAGAAATTCCTTCCATTTTTACAAGAATTGACTAAATCCTCTATCAAAAAAAAGACCAAAATTTGATTTTGTTTATTTATTCTTCAAATCTCAAGATGAAGTTAACATCAGGTTCCTAAAACATATAAGAATCAGACAATAGCATGTATGTTCCACAGTAAGCATCACTGTGATTGCCAATGGTAAGTAACAATGTACACAAATAATGACAACAATTTGTAAAGAAACAGCTCTCTTATGAATCAAAGAGAAGAATTTGGAGGAAAGAAAAGAAGAAGAAAGCCTAATAACACAATCAAAATTGTGTGAATAGTTATATAGTAATACTTTCTAAGCACCTGCTAATGCGATGAAGCCGCAACCTCTCCTCGGTTTTAGAATATGTAAGAGGAAGAAAAAGAAGTGTTGGTGGCATTACCTCGTAAATCAGGCACAGGGAGGTGGATGCAGCTGCATTTCTGTAAAGTTATTGTTTCCTAAACGAGTAAATATTGATTCAGAGGTCTTTCTTCTCAGACAAAGCTGGAGTTTTATGAAGATGAGTTTGTGAGGATGTGTTTGGTGTTGTTGTTGTTGTGGTTGTTGTTGTTGTTATTGTTGTTGTTGTTGTTGTTGTTTTTGTTGTTGTGGTTAGCTGGGAAGGTTGCTTTGCGGTTTGTGAAACTCCATTTGCAACTGGTCTTTGATCAACCACTGGGTCGATTTTGACAGCAGTGTGTACAGGTGTATCTAGATCCATTCTTGACATCAGACAATTTGATTCTGCAACAAACAAACAAACAAAAAAACTAGGTTTGAAAACGTGAATCTTATGTTTGGGCATATACTCCATTTTCATGATGATATAAGAAATGTCTACCTTTTACTTCTCCGCAGGAGATAATTCGGTTAAGGCAGTCACGGAACTTGGTTAATACTACTTTCTCTTGTTCTGCATAAACCTGGTCTTGCCCATTTGGTAGCTGTGAGGGAGGCTCCACCGAACAATTAGGTGAAGCTGCAACCATTAACATTGTGTCCCGTTCGTCACACATCAATGCCAAAGTTTCTGGAGATAGTGACCTCCCTTTGGAGCCATCTGGACCAGATTTCTCAGCTTGATTTCCACTCGCAGCTTTTTCACCCTCGGTACCTTTATTATTGCTGTGTCCTTGATCTTGCACAGAAGAAGCTACGGAAGTTTCTTTCTGATCTGCTAACCTTTCTTCTGTTAATGTCTTTGCAGCTTCCCCAGCTACAGATACCAGAACAGAACAGAGTGCTTTCACATCCTTCGGTTTAATTATGTCTGCCAAAAGAGACCTTCAAAAGAAATCATATTTATAACTCAGTTTCTGCAATCTCAGAGAAAAGATTTAGCTTTGTAAACACATCATAAATTTACCTATATACAACTTTGGATGGGCGTAACGACGCATTGCCTCCAGCATGAGAACCAGTTTTCGGAGATGTGGTTCTTCCACTATTTGCCTGATACCAGTACTTAAACAATAAGATCTCTCATTTCTCTAACAAAGGAGGGCAGATAAGGAAATCATATAGAATATTGACACGACTAAGCAAATAAACTTGAGGTTTTTGCGTAAATGATGTACCTGGCCAAGCCTATGAGTGGATGAATCTTTGGGTCCTTGGTTAAAAAAAATCTCCTGACCTTTCCTTCTCTTAGGAGCTGGAGCAGATGCAAAGCCAGAGGAACCAATAGCTCCGGTTATGGCAGCATTTGCGTGTTGAAGATAAGCCACGTTGTGGGAATGTTCACCGTGAAAGAGAGATTGTCTAACTTCACTTCCTTCAAAGTTTTTGCAATCCAAGCATTTGCAGTTCTCAGAACAAAGAATGTTAGCTTGAAAACACTCACAATACTTCTTAAGACATCCAGATTTCTTGCAGTGACAGCCTTTGTTGTGTCTCCCTAACAACACAACTTCACCAACCTCCTCCTGCAAATCGAGTGAAAATTTATAACTCATCCAACAACCTTAAGACCAACAGTTTGAAGAGCATAACACCATAAGTAAACCACGTACCCTGTTATCTCGTCCGCCGTGTGGACTAGCAGCAATCTTAGGCCTGAACGCATTCGGATTCCGTTCCAGAGTTGATCCAATCGCTTCTCGTCTCTCTGGCTCATTTTCAACGTTGTTGTGACAATTTACACAGTTGCAACCATCACAATAAGAGCCAGATGCAAAGCATTCACAATACCTGATCAAAAAGATATTGCACAATGTTCAATTCATATTTACAAAGTCCACAAAGAAACAAAGAGTTTCTCATCAAATGGTTGATGATGAAGACTTACAGCTTCAAGCACCGTGAGTGTTTACAGTTACACTGTTTCTTCTTCTGAGGTGTTCCATCTCTAGCTTCCCCCACAGGCCTTACAAAAGAGAAGAAACAAGTGTCAACTCTAGAAATTCAAACCTTGCCCTATTCATTATGAAATATCAAAATGTCAATTTCAATAATCTCTATGTAAAGATCTATACTTTAATCCCAAATCTGACTTCAGCAATATAGAAACACATATCTAATAACTAACTTCTCAAAAGTTCAAATTTTTGAAAACTTACGGATGTCTAATTGGGACGTGAAGGATGCCCTGAGATTGTGGCGGCGGTGGAATCGGAGTCCCCACCGTCGCTGTAACCGGTCGTGCCTGACTGGTAATTGGCCGCGTAACCGGCGAAGGGATTGATGCAGCAGCAGTCGAAGAAGATGCAACCGGAGGTTGATTAGACTGTGAATACTCCACACCAGTAAAATCGAGTTGCCTCGCCGACTTCATAGACTCTAGTGTAACCTCATCCGTTTTTGGCGGGAATTTTTCCCCTTCTTCACCTTCTCCCATCTCAAAAAAACTTCGAATTTCTCAGAAGAAACCCAGAAATTTTCCCTATTTTTTCAAAAAAAAAAAAACCCAAAATTTATAATCACCAAATACAAATCAACAAAATTTATAAGATCTGAATCTACCCTTAATCCTGTTTCTACGAAAACCCAGAAACCGAATCGGCGACTGCTAAAACTCAAAAATTGGATTTTGAAATTCGAATTTTTGATCTAGACTTAAAGAGATAGATAGATGAAATTAGGGTTTTGAAAGGTTTTAGCTTCGGAGGAAGAAGAAGAAGAGAGATTTGGTAACCACAGAGGAATCAAAAAAAAAAACAGAGAATTTGGGGTTTTTCTTCTTCTTCTTCTTCGCGAGAGCTTATTGTTTAACTCTGCTCTCCTCCCTCTCTTATACATGTTTTGAAATTTCAATTTTTCTGGATTATATTAGACGGTTAGATTTCACTGACAATTTGATCCTACGGCTCTTATTGAATACGTTGATCCGACGATTACTATTCATATCAGGTTTGAAGTTTCGTTGATCTTTCACCGTCCGATCGTCACAAATTATTTAAACAAAAAAAAAAGCAAATTTATTACTCGTGAGGACACAAGAGAGAAGTAAAGTTTTAAAATAACGGTTTTGGCCCAAATTATTTGGTTCCTCACGAAAATGCCCCAATAGTTTTAAATATTCAAAAACATAGCAAAAGAAAAGAAAAAAAGAAATCTACGTAAGAAAAAGAATCAAAACTGACGATTTGTTGATGTTGCGTGATGAAAAGGAATCGATTTTCTGTATCTATGTTCTTCCCCAAAATTAGGATTTGAAGAGCTTTTTTTTTGTAGTTTAAACAAGAAGAGTCAGGTTTAAAATTGATTTTGGGGATTTATAGAAACTGAAAATGATTTTTATCTTTTAATTAAGGTTTAGTTAACATTTTAATTATCTTCTGACAATAATTAAAAAGTTAATGTTTAGTTATTAAAATAGCATAGTTAAAGTTGACTAATTTCAGGTCTATTTTGCATAGTCAACAAAAAAAACTTTGATATTTATCTTGCTATATAAAGTTGAGATTTCATTTTTAACATGCGTTACCAAAAATAAGAAGATTTGTTTTAAATATTTTCTTCTTAAAATAGATACGTAAATTTTAGAAGAGTATTTAGTTTTTTGTTAATCAAATTCCTCGTCAGAAACAAAATTTATACTCTACATAAAACTAATTCTTTCCTCATAAATGTTGATAAAGCTTGAAGAGTAACTTGAGCCATAAGTTACTAAAATAAAGGAAGAGATAATATTGAGAATATTTAGGAGTTATCTAAATATTGTTTAGGAGATATCTAAACCTAGTCCTAGCTTGTTTTGGGAGTCATCTAAGATCTCTATATAAGAGTTGCCAATGTTGTGGTTAACCTTATGAGTTTTAAGAGATTGAGAGATTAGAGAGCTTTAAGTTTTGTGTAAGTTTCTTAAAGGAATAAAAGAGAGAAGTCTTTTATAGTTCTAATCTTCTAAAATCTCAAAGTGTTTAAATCAATATTTGGTATCAGAGCTTTATTGATTTAAGCATCGGAGACGACCAAGTTGTGTTCATACGTGTTTCTCGTGAAATCATACCATGGCTGACATAATACCTGTACCGGACAAACCGAAAGAGATTAGTATGGGATCCATAAAATGTCCGATGCTCAACAATGTCAACTATATTGTATGGGCGATGCGTATGAAGGCAGCTCTTAAAGTTCACAAAGTGTGGGATACCATTGATCCCGGTTCTAATGATGAGGAGAAGAACGACGTGGGGAAGGCTCTTCTTTTCCAATCTATACCGGAGTCAATGGTTCTTCAAGTCGGTGAACATGATACTTCAAAAGCAGTTTGGGATGCTATAAAAACTAAGTATGTAGGAGCTGAACGTGTTAAAGAAGCTAGGCTTCAAACTCTGATGGCTGACTTTGACAGATTGAAGATGAAAGATGGAGAATCAATTGATGATTTTGCCGGGAAGCTTTCAGAACTGTCTACCAAATCCGCAACTTTAGGAGAAGAGATTGAAGAGTCGAAGCTAGTTAAGAAATTTCTTAAAAGCTTACCAAGGAAGAGATTCATACACATCACCGCCTCACTTGAACAAGTCCTAGATCTGAAAAATACAAGTTTTGAAGATATTGTCGGGCGATTGAAAGTTTATGAAGAACGTATAGGTGACGATGAAGAAGATCAATCTAACGATCAAAGTAAGCTTATGTATGCTAGCTCCGACACACAGATATATCAAGGAAACCAAGGATTTGCTAGAGGCAGAGGAGGAAGATTCTCTCAACGGGGAAGAGGACGTGGCCGCTACGGGAACCAACAGAGAGATGCTTCGAAGATAGTGTGTTACCGGTGCGACAAGACCGGACACTATGCATCAAATTGTCCCGACAGGTTACTCAAACTCCAGGAAGCACAAGAAGTTGACGACAGCGATACACAAGAGGCTGAGAATCTGATGATGCACGAGGTCGTATACCTCAATGAGAAAAACGTGAAGCTAAGTGACTTTGAAACTTCATCAGATGAAAGCAATGTTTGGTATTTGGATAATGGGGCCAGTAATCACATGTCAGGAAATAGGTCCTATTTTCAAAAGATTGATGAAACAGTCACAGGGAAGGTAAGATTTGGCGATGATTCGCGTATAGATATCAAAGGAAAGGGTTCAGTCCTCTTCATTAGCAAGAACAAAGAGAAAAAGGTCTTGGCAGATGTTTATTTCATTCCAGAATTGAAAAGTAACATCATAAGCCTTGGCCAAGCAACAGAGGCAGGATGTGACATTAGAATGAGAGAGGACTACTTGACGGTACACGATCGTGATGGAAAGCTGCTAGTGAAAGCAAGAAGGTCCAAGAATCGCTTATACAAGGTACTCATGGAGTTGGAATCTGCGAAGTGTTTACAATCAGAAGTGTTAAGTGACTCGGAGATTTGGCACGCAAGGTTAGGACACATTAGCATAGAGACAATGAAAACCATGTTGAAGAAAGAATTAGTAAATGGAATGCCAATGATGTCAATTCAAAAGGATACATGTGCTTCTTGTCTGCTAGGAAAACACGTAAGGAAAGTGTTTCCCCAAGCAACCGCATATCGAGCAACCAACAAACTTGAACTCATACATGGAGATATTTGTGGACCCATTACGCCGTCTACAGCTGCACAAAAAAGGTATGTATTCGTTCTAATTGACGATTACTCTCGCTACATGTGGTCCATACTTCTAAAAGAAAAGAGTGAAGCGTTCGAGAAATTTAAAAGGTTCAAGATGTTGGTTGAGCAAGAAACCGGCACTACCATCAAAACTTTTAGAACTGACAGGGGCGGTGAGTTCTTGTCCCAAGAATTCCAAAGTTTTTGTGACAATGCCGGAATACAAAGACACTTGACAGCACCATATACTCCTCAGCAAAACGGAGTAGTCGAGAGAAGAAACAGAACGCTAATGGAGATGACTAGGAGTATCTTGAAACATATGAGCATACCGAATTACTTGTGGGGAGAGGCAGTGAGACATGCAACATACTTGATAAACAGAGTGGGTACAAGAGTGTTAGCTACACAAACTCCATATGAAGCTTTCAAGGGAAGAAAACCAAACATAGAACACTTGCGGGTATTTGGTTGCATAGGCTACACAAAAATTGAGATACCACATCTAAAAAAACTTGATGATCGATCACGTGTACTAGTTCACTTAGGGACAGAGCCTGGATCAAAGGCTTATCGCATGTTGGATCCAACAACCCGTCGGATAACAGTGAGCAGAGACGTGGTTTTCAATGAAAACAAGAGATGGAAGTGGAACAGCTCAAGTAACGAAACTGAAGATAGCCCTGGCACGTTTAAACTCAGTCTTGGAAGCTTTGGAAATAATGGTTTGAGAGAAGAGGAGGAAGAAGCTGCGGGAAATAAAACCAGAGTCGTAGAAGAAACAGAGGAACAGAGCGACGAACACGCTAACGATGATCATGGTTCCATAGATGGAGAAAATTCTATGTCTGATCCTAGAGAAACAGAACGCATCATCGAAGAAGAGCAAATCCAGCAGCCCATTCAACCTATTTTAAGAACTTCACAACGACAGATTACAAAACCAAAGTATTTAGAAGACTATGTCTTGTTATCTAGCATCGAGTGCGAGCATCTTCTGATGGTGCTAAATGATGAACCATGGGATTTTAATGAGGCTAAGGAATCTAAAGAGTGGAGAGAAGCCTGTGAAGAAGAAATCTCGTCGATTACAAAAAATAAGACATGGAACCTAGTTGAACTTCCAAGTGGAGCTAAGGCAATTGGACTAAAGTGGGTCTTTAAAATTAAACGAAACTCTGATGGTAGTATAAACAAATTTAAGGCGAGACTTGTGGCTAAAGGTTATGTTCAGAGACATGGTGTGGACTTCGACGAAGTGTTTGCTCCTGTGGCACGTATCGAAACAATCCGGTTCATTATAGCCTTGGCAGCCTCAAATGGATGGGAGGTGCACCACCTCGATGTAAAGACTGCGTTTTTACACGGTGAACTGAAAGAAACAGTCTATGTCACTCAACCAGAAGGGTTTGTAACTAAAGGAAGCGAGGAGAAAGTTTACAAGCTGAACAAAGCTCTTTACGGGCTAAGACAAGCACCTAGGGCATGGAACAACAAGTTGAATCAGATTCTTAAAGAATTGAAGTTTGTTAAATGCTCAAAGGAACCATCGCTTTATCGGAAGCAAGATAGCAAGCATCTCCTCATCGTAGCTGTTTACGTGGATGATCTATTAGTTACTGGTTCAGACCTAAGCTTGATACTAGAATTCAAGAGAGGGATGGCGACAAAGTTTGAGATGAGCGATCTAGGACTGCTGACTTATTATCTTGGCATTGAAGTCATACAACATGCTAATGGTATAATCTTAAAGCAAGAGAGATATGCAGCAAAGATCTTAGGAGAAGCTAAGATGGAGGAGTGCAATGCGGTTCATATACCAATAGACCCGGGGTTGAAATTGTCGAAGGCACAAACAGAGAAAGGCATTGACGAAAAAGAATATCGGAGAAACATTGGATGCCTTCGTTATTTACTTCATACTCGACCGGATCTCTCGTATTCAGTCGGTGTGCTAAGTAGGTACATGCATGAGCCAAAAGAATCACATGGTGCAGCGTTGAAACAAGTTCTTAGATACTTAAAGGGAACACAAAGTTATGGTTTATCATTTGCTCGTGGAATAAAGACCGGACTTGTTGGATATAGTGACAGCAGCCACAACGTGGATGAAGATGACTGTAAAAGCACAACTGGACATATATTCTATCTTGACGAGTATCCTATCACTTGGTGTACACAAAAGCAAGAGACCGTAGCTTTATCTTCATGTGAAGCTGAGTTCATGGCAGCCACCGAGGGAGCTAAACAAGCAATTTGGCTTCAAGAACTTCTTAGTGAAGTTGTCGGAAAACCATGTGAAAGAGTGAAGCTACTGATTGATAACAAGTCGGCAATTGCTCTTGCCAAAAACCCGGTGTTCCACGGACGTAGCAAACATATTCACAAGAGATACCATTTTATTCGTGAATGTGTGGAGAATGAGCAAGTAGAAGTGGAGCACGTTCCAGGAGAGGAACAAA